TCCTCGTATTTATTGTAAATGATAATCTATCACAGTAATTCTGATATGCAGCCATACTTAAATTTCGTTTGCGGCTGCCCTCATGAATTTAGCATCAATGCGATCATTATTAAATTACAAGCTCCAAGTAACGCTAGCTACGTATAAGAATAAAAAAGTTTTCATTCTATGAAGCCTCATAAGTTTGCTCTTGAAGTTGATCCTTAGGAGCGTTCCAAGATCTGCTTCGCTGATTGACATGATTAAGATACGTTTCAAGCATCTAAGCTGTATTTAATCCCACAGTTGATTACAACCTTGCGCCACCACTGCCCAGGAGCTGCTGTCCATGGTAAACAGAAGAATAAGTTTTAATTGAAAAAAAAACAGTTTATGCTCACCGCCTCCGCTGCAGTTCGCCAGAAAATGCGTACGGAGAATCACTAATCGAAACGCCCCGGACGAGGACGCTCAGGTGGACGACTCGCATTTACACTTATTGCCCACACCAATACAGCAGACTCCACAGTCGTCGAGACGTGGCCGGTTAATTCAAACAAGTCAGCTGAAATTAGGCAGAAACGCTGGCTTACGGGCGAACCGTTTGATTTGATTTATAAGATCGAGACGACTGCAGTGGGAAATCTTTGAATAATTGAATTTATTTGAGGTTCAATCAACAATGAAATCAATTTACAACCATCCCACATCTCGTTCGACGACTATAAAAGGCATTGTAGCATGGGGTTAAGCTATCGAATCGAGCTGTGGGCGTGCTGTTTCAAGCACCGAAGCTGATTGAGATTTATAGGTCAGCAGGAACCGGTTATGCAAATCGAGTTGGTAGTAGGCAGTAGTAGATGTGATTTCAAACCAATTTCCCACTATGTTTGCTAGTTACCAGGTGAATTCTTAGAAAACAGACAAGACGCTGTGAATCTTGTGCAACTGCAAATCGCTGGTTAGAACATGCTGGACCATACATCTTAGCAATTTAATTGTTTGCTTTCATCGCATCGTTAGCCATTACATGGCAGAGCTCCCTATCGAGTTATGTTCAACGTTTGATTTGAATAAGGGCTTTCTCGTGCAAAGGGAACTGACCAAATGAATCACTGTAGATATTCATTTGATATACAAAACGCTTGAAGCAAGAGTCGATGAGACGGCTTTGGGTAGATTAAATTACATAAATGCTTTGATCCTCGCATGAAGTCATGCACATTGGCATAGCACCAAAATTCAGCGGGGGAGGTGTTTAATGGAATTCCTGCCATTTGTTCAATTTTTTTTTTGATTTTCCACACATTTCCAGAATGTTGAAAATATACAATTTTTAGATTTTTGTTTATGAAGTCGAGGGACAAAGGTTCAAATGGACAAAAGGTGGAATGGGAATGGAATTAAATATTTTAAATAAGGTGTGTTATTTTTTTTACAATACGATTAGGGAAACTGTGGGTAAGATGAACAGTTGATGGTGGATAGAACCTCCTAGATTCATTCCTAGTGGTTCACAAAGTGGCAGCACCCTTAGTGTCGTCCTTCTCTGGTTTAAAGCAGACTAGCGTATGATGACGTCCCTTCCATTTCCGACACGAGAATTTCGATCGACAGTCCCTTGCCTGTTGACCTTGTTTTAGAAGATTCCGACACAGACCATTTGCACGTAACAACGCTTCTTTATCGGATGACGTCATTCACTGGAAAACCTGGTATTGGAACAGGTGGTGATCTGCTGAACAACTGTAACCAACGGGTTCCAATCTCATCCAGATAGACCCGAAGACAAAAATAGAAAAGAAACATGTTTTGATTTGCTTATTGAGCAATTCTTTACAGATTGACGAATGTATTATTTTTTTTTTTATTTGTCGGCTCCGATTTTGATGAAAATTTGCACAGTTGTTCTTTTTTAGTAAAGATGCCAATTTGTGTTATCAGTTCTTCAAATCGAATCACGACTACTTTCCTAACAGGGCATGTGTAAAAATAGTACTAATGAGTTAAAATATATATATATATATTGCTGAAACGGTTTGTTGGATTGATTTGGTGTCTTCAGTAAAGTTGTAGATATTATTTTGGCAATAATGTTAAAAATATATACACTGTAAAAAATTTCGTTTGTTTCAATGAAAAAAAATATATTTGTTATTAAAAAAGTTAATTTTTCAAAAAGTGCATTTATGAAAATTTTCGTTTTAGACCTCATTGAAGCTTATAATGTTTGCTACAAACTGGTAAAGTTTGGTGATGGTAAGTTATGATTTTTTGAAAATTTCACAATTTTAACATTTTTATTAAAAACACATGTTTTTCAACCGTGTATATTTTTTCAAGAATTGCATTTTAATTTTGCACAACTTTCCTGAAGACACCATAGCAATCAAGCAAGCCGTTTTTGCAATATAGGTATGTTTATTTCATTAGTGTTTTTCTACACAGGCCCTATTGAAAAGTTAAGATTCATTACATCTGATACCATGAAAAGGTTTCGTTACTAACAAAACTAAAAAAAATCATTTGATGAATATTGAGCTAGAACTAAATAAAAGTGATATGATGTTCAAACTAGCGACCCTTACTGAAGGAGCAATTCGATTCAAATTGACGATTTTGACGTTGGACTGCGTCTGTGATTTATATATGGGGGTACACTTTATGAAAACCGAGAATGGAACATGTAACAAAATTATGAAAGATTTTGAACGTTAATAACTCAGCTGCCCCTGGACCAATTTCAATAATTTTATCACCAATCGATCAGAAATATTTCAACTCATTTGTTTAATTTAAGACTTTATCATGTTTCAAAATATCACTATTGATATTTGCATGAATGTGCAACTGTTGCTGTTGTAGTTAAAATTATCACCGATTGCCTGCGAAAAGAAATTTTCCTAACACAGATTTCAAAGTTGAATTCGAACTGGTCTCACCAAACGGTGTTTATTTAATCACCGCAAGGTGAGTGGTGGTGTTCTCCAGTCACAACAAAATGCTGCCTGCAAATAGCGAGCTGCAGTCCACATAAGCATCCATAGAAGGAGGAAGAAGCCGCACCGTTATTGATCGGAATCAGTAGCTCTTCGTGATTCTATGTCTATGTCTAGCATATCGTACTAAAGAGTACAAACAGAGATAACCCTGCTCAAATTCCCATTCCTACACAAAACACAAGCTCTTGCTGCAGTTAACAAATAAGATTTATTATATAAGAACACGTAGTCCTACGTCCCCGTTGCGTACAACCCCATAGGGCTGTCCCTTGTAGTTTTTTAATTTTCTTTTTTATTCATTGTCTTCAATTGTGCATAGTTGTATCAATGATCTTAACGGTAATAAGGCAAAAACTCAACACTGTAGTAGTGAACACCAAAAACATCTGTCTGTACCTAATGTAGAAATTGTACCTATTGAGTTTGAGTTTGAATGGTGCAAAACAAGCAGTTGATCACAAAGATTGCTTTTTACCGCATATATCTTAAAAAGTTATCATAGGAAATAAGTGTAACACCATTTGCTTACCTTTTAAAGCATAACCTTCAGTTGTATTTCACTGAAATCATTTTAAGGATTATTATTTTTAATTTTTTTTTAATACAGGAAGCAACATGAGTGAACGAGCCTGTTTTATCAGGTGCATTCGGCCGTTCGAGGAAGTCAAGAAAGAGCTGAGGAACATTTCGAATATTACCATCCAGAAATTAAAATCGATTGGATATTCTGTCGGAGACCTGTCCGACCGATTTGGTTTCGACCTCCACACGACCTTCACCAAAAAACGTACCTCCTTCTTGAACGAATCGTCCTTTGCTTCCTTGATCCTTATCCTTCCTGTCCTTATCCTTCCTGTATCCTTGTCATCGGCAGATCCTTCTTCACATGCAGCAATCAAACACACTCTTCACACAATACACGAATTTATTTAAGCTTAACAAACGACACTACATTATTTATTCACTCGTACATTTATTCTTAAGGCTAACAGTAAACAATTAAAAAAAACGATAACAAGGGTTTGCCCCTTGTCACTGATCGCGACGACGGATCTATTTCTACTGACTATTCTCCCAGTTTTCTACACTCTCCTACTGATGACCATCAGACTGCCCGCATAGTAGTGGTAGAATTCCGGGAGCCCGTGTGAACCGGTGCACTACCACAACCGTAGTTACCACAGTAGTACACAACCGTTTAAATCGCTCGTGGAGTCCCTGCAATGCGGTGAGTGTGCTTGTTGCTGGCTGCATCCGTTGATTTGGTAATTATGTAACTCTCAGACATCCTTACCCACCCTGAAGTGTCCGGGAGACTTCTGAAAATAAAGAAAAAAAAAACAACCTCTCTCGATGCACTGGATGGAATCTATCGAATTTGTCCCTATTCTTCCTCGTCTCTCATTGGTAATAAACATAACTTTGCTACTGGTCGCTTCAATGAACCGGTTGACGTTCGCACTGTAACGACTCTAGTGACTCCATCCACACCTGGGTGCAGCTCCTGGATACGGCCCATCTTCCATTGTATAGGTGGTTGATTAGGATCCACGATGACAACAAGTTTGCCGATCTTAATTTCTACTGCTGGCTTCCAATGTTTTGATCGAGCTTGAAGTTGTGCGAGGTATTCATGACGCCATCGTTTCCAAAAATCCTGGAGTTGTCGCTGCACAAGCTGGAATTGAGTTAGTCTATTCAACTTGATGTTACCGAGATCTGGTTCTGGTAGGGCTTGAAGTGGTCCACCAACTATGAAGTGTGCTGGCGTTAGTGGCTCTACATCCATAGGATCATCGGAGAGAGCCATCAATGGCCTCGAATTGAGGCATCCTTCCACCTGAGTCAACAAAGTGATGAAGTCTTCGTGTACCACTGGATTACCACCGAGAACTCTTAATAGGTGAAACTTTGCTGACCGCACCGCTGCCTCCCACAGCCCGCCGAAGTGTGGTGCACTTGGAGGGTTGAAATGCCAATATATTCCATCATTAGCGCATTCCTTGGAAACCGTCTCACGGTGTGTTTTATTTTTCAGCAACGCAAACAACTCCTGAATCTGGTTTCGCGCTCCTATGAAATTGGTACCGTTGTCCGAATAAACGTCTGTGCAACGCCCTCGACGCGCAAAGAATCTTCGTAAGGCTTGCATGAACCGTTCCGTCGACATATCCGACACCAGCTCCATATGGACGGCTTTCGTGGCCATACACACGAAAAGTGCAACGTATGCCTTGGTTGGTTTTCGTCCTCGACCGGCTCGCAGGTATATAGGGCCGAAATAATCGACGCCGGTCTTCGAAAACGGCCTCGAAACGTTGACTCGAGCAGCTGGTAGCTCCCCCATTTGCTGCTGAATGATCGAAGGTTTTGCCCGAAAGCACCGCTGGCATTGATGGACGATCTTCCTCGCTAGATTTCTGCCTCCAAGTGGCCAGTATCGTTGTCGAACGGTACCTAACAGTAATTGCACCCCAGCGTGAAGGTATTGTTGATGATAGTGGCAAATTACCAGCTCCGTGAACTTGTGCCTAGCTGGAAGAACAATCGGGTGCTTTGTTTGCTGCGATTCCTCGGAGTGAGCCAGTCTTCCACCGACCCGTAGGATGCCGTTTTCATCAATTTGTGGGTTGAACCACCGCAACGGAGAATTACGACCCACTGATACACCAGACGACAGCTTTCGGATCTCGTCCGAGAACGATTCCGCTTGAACTGACAGAATGATCGACCGTTCCGCGTGATGCAACTCGTTTGTTGTTAGACATCCTGATAGTTTTTCTGTTTCAGGGCACCGCAAGTTGTTCAGGAAGCGCAACCAGTATGCGGTCATCCGAATCAATTTCGTAAATGTGGAAAATTTTGATAAATAATCCGAAATGAACCCAGATTTCTTCGACGAAACACAAACCATCGCATTGCGTCGTCTCTCCAAATCCTTCTCAGTTGGGTTTTCTGCCGCCTTCGGCCATTCTTCCGGCGAATCCTTCAACCAGGTAGGCCCATGCCACCACAGATCGTTTTCTAGAATGTTGTTGGGCAAAATTCCACGGGATATTAGATCAGCAGGGTTCGTAGTTCCCGGAACATGCCTCCATTGTCTCCGTTCAGTCAGTCCTTGAATTTTCGCAACTCTATTGGCAACGAAAGTTGTCCATGTTCCTGCTGGTGACCTGATCCAGTGGAGTACGCAAGTTGAATCTGTCCAGAAATGAGCGCTACCTTCTACCTTCAGCGATTCTGCTACCTTTTCCCAGAGTTGGGCTGCCAGGAGTGCGCCACACAGCTCCAACCGTGGTAGAGATTGAACCTTGAGCGGTGCTACCTTTGATTTCGAAGTCAAAAGGTGCACCGAAACCGTACCATTTTGTTCTTGACTCCGAACATAGATTGTCACACCATAAGCGACAATAGAGGCATCCGAAAAGCAGTGGAATTCTACGGATACCGAACCTGGAGCAACCACACACCTTGGAATCCGCACATCGTTGAGCGAAGGGATTTGCTCGTGGAATGCTCGCCATTCCTTACCCACCGTCTCGGGCAGTGGGTCATCCCATTGTAGATTGTGGCCTTGTTCGTTCTTTAAGCACCAGAGCCGCTGCATGAAGATCTTTGCCGCTGTGATCGTTGCACCAAGCAGGCCCAGCGGGTCGAAAAGTCTTGCGATGAAAGCCAACACTTGTCGCTTCGTGAGGATTTGGAATGGCGTGAGTGGCGGAATGGTAAATTTGAACCGGAAGCAGTCTACGTTAGGAAGCCAAGTTAAACCTAATGTTTTTACTTCAGCATCTTGGTCCCAATCGATTCCATTCGAATCTGGAAGTGCTAGATTCTCAGTTGGAATGCCCTTGAGTACGTCTGGGCAGTTCGATGCCCACTTACGTAGTTTTAATCCTCCGCTGATCATCATTGCGTCTATTTGTCTCCTCAATTCGATCGCCGCTTCAACGTTGTCTGCTCCAGATATAACATCGTCCATGTAAACGTCTTCTTCGACCGTAAGTGCCGCTAATGGAAACTGCTTTCGTTCGTCGTTCGCTAGTTGTTGCAAGGCACGAGTGGCCAGATACGGCGCGGACTTCGTACCATATGTCACCGTTAGTAACTCGTACGCCACTACCTTTCCATCAGCTGCTGTCCAGAGTATGCATTGAAGCGGTGTGTCATCCAGACTCGTCCAGAACTGTCGATACATCTTTTCGACGTCTGCTACGACCATCACCTGACGAACTCGACTACGCAGAACGATTGACCTTAAGTCTTGTTGAACTATTGGTCCAGCATACAGCGCATCGTTTAGGGATATTCCTGAAGATGTTTTGCAAGATGCGTCGAATACCACCCTCACCTTGGTCGTGGTACTAGACTCTTTGATAACGGGGTGATGTGGCAGAAAACACCGTTTAACTGTATGCTCTTCGCTGTCGTCCAATCTTCGCATGTGACCGAGCTCGAGGTATTCGGCCATGAAATCACAATACTGCTTCTGTAGACTTGGATCCCTTGCCAATCTTCGCTCCACAGCTCGCAACCGTCTTAATGCGATGTCTCGGGATTCACCCAGTTCCACCAAAACTTCGTTGTTCTTGGGGAGGGCTACTGTGTATCGCCCGTCGGATTCCCGCCTAACTGTACGCTGGAACTGCTCCTCACAGTGAGCTTCTTCAGGAGAGTATTTGTTGACGGCTCCTACTTCCTCGCAGGACCAAAACCGTGCCATTATCTCCTCGAGATTATCCGATACTGCCATGTTACAGACGTACTTAGTACCTTGGCTGGATGAAGTGACTTCGCCTGACACTATCCACCCAAAAACCGATTCCGTTAGTACTGGTAGGTCCTTGCCCAGCTGTATCTCCCTTCCATACGGGAAGTAGCTGAAGAAGGCTTGGATGCCCAGAACCAAGTCAATCTTCCTTGACCGGAAGAACTCCGGATCCGCCAGTTCGATCTCTACCGGTATGTTCCATCCATTTGCCTGAACTGTAGATGTTGGCAGACAAGCTGTAACCTTCGGTAGGACGACAAATTCCATCGATCGAGAGTACGATGAAATCCGAGATCTGACGACAGCCTTGACCTTTCGAGTTGCCTTCGTGTTCGACTGTCCGATACCAAGAATCGATATGTTGGCCTTCTGACTGGAGACATTCATTAAATGGCACAGTTTTTCAGAGATGAAGTTACACTCGGACCCTGAGTCCAACAGTGCACGTGCTAGATAGCGAGAACCTTGATCGTCCTCGATCGCAACGACAGCTGTAGCCAGAAGAACCTGCGATAAGAGACACTGTGCCGCGTTTGAAGAAGTAGATTCAACCGCTGAGGCATTCGCTGCCTTGGAGTTTGCAACACTGTCGTCCTGCTTAGCGCCTTCACCCGGTTTCGTTCTTCCGGATGATCCTTGGTTGCTGGAACTTACTTCTCCCTTGTAGCATAGCAACGAATGGTGCCGACCCTTACAATGCCGACAGGAAAACTTTGATGAACACTCTCGAGCAAGATGACCACGTTTGAGGCAATTACGGCAGAGCGATTGCGTACGTATGAGGGATTCCTTACTGGTCAGTGACATCTTCAAGAAGGCTGGACAAGTATGCAGTCCATGAATCTCCGCGCAAGAAGGACACTTAGCGTTGTTTCCTTGTACGGCATTATGGCTGACCCTTGTAGAGAACGGCTTTCTTTTTAGTTGTTGGAACTGTTCAACCTTCGCTTCCACCTTCGCAGGTAAGGCTTCAAGAATCTGCATTCTGCGTTGAAGAAACTCCTGTAGATCCTTTAGGGTGTCTTGCTGCTTCGTAGACGAATGTTCTTCCCACCTTCGTCGTGTGGCAGGATCGAGACGAGTGCTCAGCAGCTCTACCAGCAACAAATCTTTATAATCGGCTGGTGCGATGATTTGGTCTAACGTCCGAATCACACGGTCGAAACCATCCACCAATTTATGGAGATCCGTGATAGATTCCTTGCTAAGCGAAGGCAGCTTGATGAGCGCTTGAACTTGCTTCTTCTTCAAAAGTTTGTTGTTGTTGTAACGTTTTAGCAACGTGTCCCAAGCAACTTGATGATTGTCTTTCGTGATCCTTAGCGGATCAATCAGTGCCTTAGCCTCGCCTGCTAAGCACCCTTTGAGGTAATGAAGTTTCTCTACATCAGGTAGATCGGGTTTTTCGTGAATCAGAGATGTGTAGAGGTCTCTAAAACTCAACCAATCGTTGATACTACCATCAAAGGATTGCAACTGGATTTGAGGTAGACGAACATGATCCATTACGCCATGTAGAGTGGCATCTGCAGTCCGCACTGTTTGGTTTGACGAAGACCCTTCCTGCAATCCGTCAACCTTTTCAACCAGAAACGATTTCGCATCGTAGTAACGATTTTCAATCTCCAACTGCTCCCTTTGACTACCATCTTGCTCTGCATATTCCTCATGCGCTTGGATGTCCCAGATTGTTTCGCTAATTTGTACCCACAGTATATCTAACCGCTCAATACGAACATTAATTTGATTGGCAGAGGTTCCCTCTTTGAAGTTCTTAACATACTGACAAATATTGCTTAATGATAATTTGAGCCCCTTGAGTTTGGATGTTAAAACCTTCAGGGATTTGGCATTCCTGGTTAAGGGTTTTGTTGCCATAATTGCTGTCGTCACAGTACAGGAACTCGACCGAATGTCAGTTGATGAACAGGTTACTCCACTGGCAGTTCAGAAAGGCTAGAGAAAACGTAGATGTAGTATCCAAATTTGTCTACTTCGGCTGGGCATATACCGTTCACCTCACCTGTGTGAAGAAACAGTGGCACCTCCGAAGCCAAACAGCAAATCCAAATCGACACACCTCCAACGTTCGATCAGTAACCTCAGATTCAGATTCAAACCAGTGAAATGTGAGGGGGTGAAGAAGCGAATGTAGTATACAAAATTGAAACTTCGGCTAGACATATACTGCTCAGCTCACCTATGAAACAGTAGCATGTAGCAGCAGCCGAGCTCAAAAGGCATCAAAATCGTCTCTTATGTTTGTATGCAGCGAGTAGTACAGTACGAAATCGTCTCGAAAGTTCAAATCCAGTACAGCGGAGAAAAAATGACCAATGTAGTTTCACAAATAAGCCTGCCCCGGTAGGACATATACTTTGCCTCACCTAGAGCACTAAAGATGGTGCTGACGAATTAGCTTCAGTCCGAAAACCACAGTGAAACCTCAGGGATTGCGTCCATAAATGAGTTGACTCGAAACAGTCCAATGTGCATCGAAAGGGTAATAATTTATTGGTGTGGTATCCAAATCCAGCTTCGGCTGGGCATATACTTATAAGAGTAATTATTCTATTTACCTGACCGCAAATGGCCGCTGCAATGCCCGAGCTCGAAGCAATCGTGGTGTCCTCCGTCGTCGCAAATGAATCGTAGTTGTGTCGTCGTTGCAGGTCCAACCGAATCGCATTGGATTGCATGCACCATGCACCGATCGAAGGAAGCGTTGTGAATCGATTCTTCGCAAACTGATTCACCAATGCCTATGTAGTGTCCGTCGATAGTAGGTCCTCATAGAAATTAAACAACAATATGCACAAATCGTAGGGTTGGCGTTAGTGAGGAATAGGCCAGAACTTCGGCTAGACATATACAAGTTCTAACATACCTGGAATGGTAGTAGAAAACGCTCTGGTTATTCTACAATCCTGATGAACAACCGATGTAGCCTTCGAAGTCCGTTTTCCCACTCGCTGATGAAGGTTGATGTAGCTGATGTCTTCACAGAAGAGGACGATGGCGGATAGATTGGGCGCGATTCAAAAGGACTATTGATGAGCAAGACGATGGCTGCTGACTCCTTTTCATGCAATCGGAATGGCCACAGGATCTATTCATGCACCGATGAGATGGCGACTGTTCCATTCAGGGCACTATGGAATGGCGCGAATGCTTTGTCCCAGGTTGGCCTTTTGATGGACGTTTATTGGCGCCGAGATCGTCGAGATTCAGTCCGCAGGTAGTGGAGATCCGGTTCGAAGGACCAGCTTATGTCGGAGACCTGTCCGACCGATTTGGTTTCGACCTCCACACGACCTTCACCAAAAAACGTACCTCCTTCTTGAACGAATCGTCCTTTGCTTCCTTGATCCTTATCCTTCCTGTCCTTATCCTTCCTGTATCCTTGTCATCGGCAGATCCTTCTTCACATGCAGCAATCAAACACTCTCTTCACACAATACACGAATTTATTTAAGCTTAACAAACGACACTACATTATTTATTCACTCGTACATTTATTCTTAAGGCTAACAGTAAACAATTAAAAAAAACGATAACAAGGGTTTGCCCCTTGTCACTGATCGCGACGACGGATCTATTTCTACTGACTATTCTCCCAGTTTTCTACACTCTCCTACCGATGACCATCAGACTGCCCGCATAGTAGTGGTAGAATTCCGGGAGCCCGTGTGAACCGGTGCACTACCACAACCGTAGTTACCACAGTAGTACACAACCGTTTAAATCGCTCGTGGAGTCCCTGCAATGCGGTGAGTGTGCTTGTTGCTGGCTGCATCCGTTGATTTGGTAATTATGTAACTCTCAGACATATTCTGAAGCATCAGGATTGAATACTGGTTTTCGCATTTGCACGTCCTGCCGTCTTCGTGTTGATAAACAAGCTCTTTTCATCTCAAACGATGAACAGCATGTTGCCGGAAGCTCAAAGATGCCAACTACAGTGATAGTACCTGTCGTACCGAGCTGTGAAAGCCTTACAACTGTACCATCAATGACATCAGTTACTTCAGTTCAATCGTACTAAGAATTCACTCATCCAGTCAACATCGAGATATTCAACCGAGGTATTGCAGAAATCCAGGTATCACCGATAGACGTGGGAAAACTCAACTACCTACATCCACTACCCCGAAAAGAAGCACCGTGAAATCAACGAAGGTATTAGAAAGAATCTTTTCAACTGCGAGCCTGAGGCTGACGAAGTGAATGAACTCAAAGAAGTTTTAGAAAACATGGAGGAAAAGTTTTCCAATGCATCCACTGCAAGAAGTGAAAAATTATTAATTTTATCGTTATTGCCTTATTCATGGTCAACACAAAAAGTTATGGATCAATTTAATGCTAGTAGATATATTGCAACAGAGGCTAAGTTGATAAAGGAAGGTCATTTGTCAAAAACCGCAAAATATGGCACAGCCTTAAGTGATGAAACAAAATTGGCAGTCATAATTTTTTTTGAAGATGATGATATAAGCCGGGCAATGCCTGGTCAAAAAAATTTTGTGTCTGTGCAGAAAGAAGGAAAACGACAAGCCATTCAAAAAAGGGTTACTAATGATGACTTTGAGAGAAGCTTATAAACGATTCAATGAAATTCACTGCAATGTAAAAATTGGATTTCACTTCATTTTCAAAACTCCGCCCTAAGCAATGTATACTTTTAACCAGCTCTGGAACCCACAATGTTTGTGTGTGCACAACGCATGAAAACATCAATCTAATTTTACACAGTTTGAAAAAACTTAACCATTTAAATGATGTAAAAACGCTCACTGACAGCCTACTTTGTGAAAACAAGACAACATATTGCTATCTACGGTGTTGTGAAGATTGTCCAGACTCTTCCGCATTAGAAAACATTTTATTAAAACCATTAGAGGAAAAATGCATTGATCAGCTTTCATTTGAACAGTGGGTTACCACGGATAGATGTGATTTAGAAACTATTGTAAAGCCTGCAGACGAGTTTTTCTGCTTGAAATTGACAAGTTTGATACCACATGATTTCATAAAAGCACAGCAATCTAATTTTTTGAAAACTACACGAAATAATTTGCAAGAAAGTGAATTTTTAGTTACTTGCGATTTCTCCGAAAACTACAGCTTTGTGTTACAGGATAAAGTTCAGTCTCATCACTGGAATGTCCAACAAGCTACCATTCATCCATTTGTTATATATTTTAGAGAAAATATGAAAGGTAAACATTTAAGTTTTATTATAATTTCTGAAGAGTTAAGGCATGACTCAGTGGCTGTTAACTTATTTATTTCTAAAATGATCAGTTTTTTTTACGCATTAACCAAAGTAAAAATATCAACAAGATTTATTTTATGTCCGATGGAGCTGCGTCACAGTACAAGAACCGGAAATTTTTTGCTAGCCTTGTAACGTTCTCCGTTAGGTTGTATTATATTTTTCTATTATTTCAAGCATCTCTTTTGTTTAGAACATTTTCAAATTCAAGAACATCAAACATCCCTTTTCGATTCTAAAAATCCAATCCATCGCATACTATAATGTTATAGCAGTTTTAAGATTTGAATATAATTGCCGTTTCCAATGCAATAGGCCTTCTTTAGCTCATGGTTTAATCAATAGATGGCCAATAAGTTAACTTGTCCAACATAATTCAATGAATCGTGGTATGTGTCGAACATGATGATTCGAAGAATTTGAGGGGTCGAGAGCTCTTTAAAGTTAATTTCTCGTTCACTTTAAAGAATTGTCGGCTAAAGAGCAGAAGTAAGCTTAGTGGTAAATTTCTCGTCGGTTTTATTCTAATTAAAGGAGTGTTCTAAATTAGACGGAGGTGTAAATTCATTTGTTCTAAATTATATAGTGATTTAATTAACTAAATATAAAAAGTGGTGATGTGAACTAAATTTAATTGTTTCCTTTTGTTCCTTTTTAACTTGATTTATAACAATAGTTTTTTGGCGTGTTAAAATCACAACGGCGAATACTCTGCCCTTGTGCATTGTGCGTTTACTACAAAAGGTAATAATTTATAGAATTTCATTTTATGTTATTTTCCTAAAACTTAATTCCCGTTGGACAGCGAGCGTCCATCGGACGTTTTTATGACGGGCTAGAAACCCGTAGGCAATCCCTTGGCCATTTACCTGGCTTCTGTACACGTGGTGTATTTCCGGTGCGACTGCTCTGTGGCCCGCCAGTTTCTGGCAGTCAAACGGGGCGAAAGGTTTTTCCGTTGGCCTGCCTTGCGATTCCTGACGGGGTTGTTCCATTCCGTTCCATAGTGGTTGCGTAAGGGAATCAGAGTACGTGAAGGCCACTAGGAGCACGTTGGCTACCTCGAACGGATGATCTGGTAGAGTACCAACACCCACCGACAACCTCCCCCGCACCTTTAGTTCGGCCGTTGTTCTCGTGAGCATCCACCGTCGACGCTACATCGCTGCTACGTCGCTACACCGTTAAGTCATCGCACAGCATACGTGCACCCCCCGCTTGCCGCACTGTCAGCTGCCAACACATCAGCAAAACCTTGCGCAGGTATGTTTTATTCATGGCCATGAACACTCAATACAACACACACACTCACACACACAAGAATTAAGAAAAGAAGGACAATATACATAAAATGAATTCAACATAGACTAGCTTTTAACGTTCATTTACGTTCAAGATCCCTGTGGTAAACAGTCCACCGGGTGACTTCTGCGTTACGTTCCGCTTTGCGTTCGTTTTCGGTTGCAATCATTTTTAGTTCACTTTCATTGCGTTTGAATTCACCTCGAAACCGTCCGAAAAACCCTTGAGATTTGCTTTCCTGGAACAATAGCTAAGCCGGGCAACCTTAGAAAAACACGACCAGTGGTCTCTCGTTGTCGAGAGTGGCGCATAAGCCACTGCACAGTGGTCCAGAATGCAGATTTAGGTGGAATGATATGTTTTGAGCCTGAAATTGAAACTTTAGACTAAAAGTCTCTTCTAAAAATGTGTTCCTTATAGTTAGACCCTCATTTTTATGACAATGAATTCTAGGGTGGTTCTTATTATCATTAAAATCAAAAATCTAACTTTTTTGTTTTAATTAATTAAGGTATATATTCTTCGGCAAAGTTATAGCTGAGCTAACTTCAAGCAACTTTTTTGTATCTCTTAAATTGGCCGATGTAGAGCTATTTTCTTGAATTGAGTTAGGGTGGCGCTAAAAAAAAAACAGTTATTTTGCTCTAGTTTTCTTATTTCAAATTTCTCAGCAAAGGTGTCTTGAAATGAATTTTAGATCTTTAGAAGGCGCAAATTTTTGCTCCAAAAAACTTGTCAATACCTTTCGCCGATCAAGAGTTATTGACGTTTTTGTACTAAAAATATGCATTTTTCAAATGGCAATATCTCTGGTTGGGGCAAACAAAAAAAAAGTTTTTATACGGCATTTGAAAGCGCGTATGTTATTCTGAATAATATGAAAATATTGGAGGTGTATTATTTTTTAAACTCGTATAAAATCAGTTCGAATTTATTCATTTTTTTTACTATATTTGGGTATATCTTTTTTATTTGAAGAGATACAGACAACAAATTTCCCTACAAAACATTCGTCTTAAAGAGTTTTAAAAGTTTTAAGAGGATGACTTTCATGATAAATTTTAAATAAAAATGTTAGTAAAATAAACATATCAATACATTGCAAAAACGGCTTGCTTGATTGCTATGGTGTCTTCGAGAAAGTTGTGCAAAATTAAAAAGCAATTCTTGAAAAAATACACACGG